AGCAGGGGTATCAATACTTTTGGTTTACTTAGCTCAATGGCAGATTTTCCTAAAGGACAGTTTAACACAGGGGCTCCCAAAGCATGCAGCCCTCCCTGTCACCCATCCTCCATCCGCTTGGCTGCGCTGATTCCCTCCATCCTCTCGTGCTGCTGCCACGGCCCTTCGTGTCCTCATGCAGGTGTCTCGTCTCGTCCGTCTGATCTGGTGTCTGTCTCGTCCAGTTCACCCTGCAGTTTCTTCCTGTGTGTCTGTTTGTAGATGAAGGGGCTGAGGATCAAGTGGGTCCTCTACACAGGTTCCCCAGCCACGAACCTGCCATCAGCGGGGAGAGGCGTAAACTCCTAGCCCCCTCCATCTCGGTGTCTGTGCCTGATGATGACCCTTACAGTTCCGATGAGGAGTACTATGAGCACCCCTTGTTCAGCTCAGAATGGACCACCTCTAGTGTGCTCCCCAGTGTCCCAGCGCAGAGTGCAGAGGGCCACTTAGGCCAGGAGAAAGGTGAACCAAGCATGGTGCCCTTTTGCTCCTCCTCCCCAGCCTGCAGCTTTGGCTACATGCACCCTGTTCAGTGTGCCTTCCTGTGGGGGTGGGGGGGCAGGAGTCTGTTTTTTCCATATGAATGTGAAGTCCCTATATAGGTTGCATAGATCCAAATGCTTGGAAAATGTTATAAAAGAAGCCCTACTTGAGGCATGTGTGCACTTCCTTTTTTATATCATTGCTTCTGAGAAGATGCAGAGAGAAAGAGAGAGAGAACAAAAAAGTTTAACCACCATGACCCATTTCTACTACTAGCAAATAAATCAGTAAGGGAGGATATATTTTTTAGTCAAACCATAAAAGATGACCCTGAAAATCTTTTTGTCACCTTGGATTCACAGTGTTACTAAGAGCAGCCTTAAACAGAATTAGCTTTACTTTAGTGCTATGTTAACACAATCACTTTGTAAAAGAGAAAAGGTGAAGGATCTCTTTGGCAGGAAATTGTTTCTCTTTGCCACATAATCATTGGCAAAAACTAAGGAGGTTTCCTCAGGTAACTAAATCCTGGCTCACATCAGGAGTGCTGGGCTAAAGGGAAGTGATGTGCAGCCCTTGTCTCCTGAAGCTGGGAGACACTAGTACGTAACTGGCTGTGGTGAGGATGAAATGATTGGATGCTGGCTTATATCTTGTCTCATGCTAGCTAATAATTTCATACTAAGAAAGAAAAGAAAGCGTAAAGCATTCATGCTTAGGTGAAGACCTTATTTTCAAATTGTCAAAGGCATCTGCCTAATGAAACTCTTGCAGAAATTTTTCATATGAGACAATATTTTATGTAAAACAGATAATCCAAAGGCAATGACCAGTAAGCTCACAGCTCATCAGCTACATTCATGACAATAAATTTCTTCAAGGGACATTTTGGAAACAGAGCATTAATGGCTCAGATACCCCGATGAAGAAATATAATCTAAACTGAGTGAAAACTAAGCTCTTCTAATAGTGTGAACTGAAAACAAATGAAAAACACATAAGAATTTTTGAATCAAGAATAGGGGCAGTGGAAATAAACATGATTTATACAAAATGAAAAGCTAAAAACCTTATGTGGATTTGGAAACAAATTTACTCAGTTACAGCTTATTCAAAAAGAAAACACTAGTAAAGCACTTAAATTAAAGTTACATTATAACCAAAATCTATGCATCATAAAAATGTCCTCAATAATAAATTAGTACTGGAATTTGTTAAGTGTCCCTAAAAGTTAAACTGAAAGGCTGTAAGTGTCTAAATGCCAAATATGAATAAATGAAGTAGTTCTCCCCATCCCCCAGGGGGTTAGTATTTCTTAAAACAGAAAATTCCTTTTCTTTTCATCTGTAGTCTTTCTCACAGGACCATTTACACAATGTGCAGTTGTCTCAGAAATTTCATAACAGCTCTCCCTTTGCAACACTAACATTGTATATATTTCCCTCTAATTTCTTAAGGGATAAAATTGGATTTATTTTTTTACTGGCACTTGAAGTGTAAATGAAGAACAAGTGAATATAGTAACAGAACCTTCATAAGTTCATTGTTTATATTTTAAAGGCTAAATTTCCACTGTAATGTATATTTGGGGGAACATTTTGGTAATTTGACCAGCACTCAATTATCTTTCCAGAGTGATTTTGTTATGAATTGTAGAAATAAGATTTTATTGCTCATATGCACATTTGCTTTGTTAGTGTCAGAGAGAACTATACAGGAGCTATATTATTGATTAAACAGTATTATAACAGTTATGCACCACAGGAGGACTTTTGTAAATAAAATATAAAATTCACCTTGACCTAGGCTTTCAAAACATTTTACCTGCTCCTTCAAATTCTTCATTATCTAAGGCACTATCCTATTTAGTAAAGATAATACAAGTTGAGTTAGGTAGTGTTTTACCTAGGCTAGTTAGGTAGCCTGTTACCTTGGGAATACTGAATAGAATATATTTTAAACTTTCCATGGATTTTCTGATACAGCTGTTACAGTAATTGGTTGGCTGTTACGTGGAAGGAAGGACTTCTTTTTTTTAGCTCCAAGAGTAGTCTGTGAAGTTTGCTCATTTTAAATAAAGCAAGCAGGAATTCTTATGTAGGGACTTCCTGCATTGGAGAAAACAGCACATGTCTAACAGATATGAAGGGTCTTTTTCAGCACAGCAATACATCTCCCCTTTCACTACCATCTGTTACCTGGCCGCATCCATCTCTTATTCCCAGCAAGCTTCCCACATGTGTGCAGCTTGCTGCCATTTCCACTCAGAGTAATCTATCAGTAAAACCCTTTCAGCTCTCAAGTTTTAAAATGAATAGCCTTTTAATGAAACCTTGAAAGGCATCATTATTAACAGACTCTACATCATAATATTCCAACCAATATATCATGTATGTTGCATGAGACTATCGATTTGCTGATCCAAATGGTAAAACACACCTGAGGTCGGGGTGAATCTTTCCAGTGGAGCTGAAAGTGTTCCTTGAATAATACTTGTGTCTTTCTGCATATTGTTATGTGGTCATGATGTCAACATCTTTTTCATCCCTAAGAAGAAGAAACTCTAGAGGGTCCGATGGCTGAGGAAGAAAAACCTGCTGCTCTTCCTGGGAAAGAGTGTGGGGCTGCTAAGTCCTCAGACCAAGCCCAGGTCCCCAGTGAGGGTCAAGAGGAGTCTAGTTACGAGGCACAGATAGTTCCAGAAGAGAGTGCGCCCCCTGGGGCTCTGCATGAGAAAAGTGTAAAAGAGGTCGCAGAGTTGTCTCCGGAAGTAAAAACCCCTTCCTCTGCTAAGGAAGGTGTGTTTCTCTCAGGATTTGCATGTGTTTTGCTGCAAATGATCTCTCCAGCGGCTTACAAACCTGGCGCCTTTCTAAAGCTGTTTCATCTCTGGGTCTTCTCATAATCATGAGACCACCATTTCAGCCTTCATGAGCAGAGAGTGTGGCTTGCGCAGATGCTGTGTGTTAGCTTGGTTGTCCCCTGCTGCAGCTAATTCTTGGTTGTCCTTTGCCATGATACAAGACGCTTTGCAGCAGGCTGATGATGCTGTGTGAGCTTTTGAGTTTTCCTCCCTCCTCATCGCGAATGTTTGCCAGTCACATTGCTAATACATGTATATTTTTGTTTTGGTTTTTTTGGGACAGCAGCTCATATGCTTTTGGTTTAAATCCTCCAATTGGACTTTGGCATATAGAGGCTTAAATAGTAAATCGCTTTTATTTGCAATTGCAACCTGCTATATTTTTTATGCTTCAACAAATACTGGTTTGATTCCTTTAAAGCTCCTGTTGATGCTTCTCGTGTCATTTTCTTTCCATGGCAGCCAACCCCATCAGTCACACCCATGTCTCTTTGAGTTTTCATTCTTTATTACAAGTTCATAAAATATCTCTTTTCTATTATTACAACAGGACACATAAGCTAAGGTCATGATGATCCATACACTTGCTCTTCAAGAGATGGTTGAAATTTGTGATTTTTTCCCCAGATCTTCTCCATGTAACTATACTTAGCTCTAATGACTACTGCGAAATATTTTGACCTTAAACATGACTGTGACTTTAAAACCTTTTGGATCGGTGAATAAATGAAAATAAAAATGTGTCACTAGTTTTCTGTGAAGCATCTCTAAAGCCAATACTAGTCAGTACCTCAGGAGAAATGTATTTTAATAGTTGACTCTTTTGAAAAGTTTATTACTTGCGTGACTTCTCAATATTAGTAATATAATTCAGTTATTCTTACATCTGTGAGACAGATTAAGCAATGACAAGGTAATAAGAATATTGAATATGTGGTACAAATTGCCTTGTTGATTCTTAAAATTAGATTGTATAAAATTGAGAACAAACATTTACTTATATTCCTGAAATTTAATCTCAGATGGCTTCTAAAAATTTATGCTAGTAACTTTTCAGTGCCACTCAAATTGGTCCAGGCCTCTGTTGTTACCTGAAGCTATTATTTCTTGTATCATTATTAATTATGTGGCATTTTTTCCAGGCCTACCAATTCATTTTCAAAAGAGAAACCTTGTGAATAAAATTCAAGAGAAATCAATCTTTATCCATACATATCCCTTAATATATATTTTATAACAACATTAACCACTTACTCAATATGCATTAACATATAGAAGACACGTTAAGTTTCTTTTCTACTCTAATACACATTACATAATGTTTAAGACACACCAGACAAACAAGCAAACAAACAGAAAGACACATGAGTAGTCTGAAGTAAACTCTTCTTATAATTCCTGTACACATCAATTTACAACAGTTCATTTTAGTAATAGTGCACATGTATCTCAGCCCTGACATTTTCATATTGAATTTTAGATGAGTAGCATGCTTGCATGTTCCATATTTTTTTCATTTCTCTACCATTCATCACTTCAAAATATATTTTTAAGCTAACTGCCTGAAAGCACTTGCCTATGATTTGTTTAAAAATCAACCCGATTACTTCAGATTTACTTACAGCCTCGAAGATGGAGTTCCATGATCAGCAGGAATTGACTCCCTCAGCTGCTGAGCCTTTAGACAAGAAAGAAAAGGAGTCAAAGATGGAAAGTATGCCTGGTGAAGACCTTAAACATGCTGCCTTAGTTCCTCAGCCTGACACAACTCAAACTTCCCCTGAAAGAAAGGACACGCAAGGCGCAGAAGGAGAAAAGGCACCTCCTGCTCTGTTTGGGCATCCTGTTGGTGCCACCCTCGATGACACGAAACAGAAGGCAGAACCAAGCTTCGTAGTGCCTGGCATTGGCCTCCCTGCACAGCCTCCAGCCCCCAAAGAGCAAAAAGACTGGTTCATCGAAATGCCAGTGGAAACAAAGAAAGATGAGTGGGGTTTAGCTGCTCCAGTGTCTCCTGGCCCCTTGACACCCATGAGGGAAAAAGACGTCCTGGAGGATATCCCAAGGTGGGAAGGGAAGCAGTTTGATTCTCCCATGCCAAGTCCCTTTCAAGCTGGAAGCTTTACTCTTCCTGTAGATATCATGAAGAATGAAATTGTAACAGAAGCATCACCCTTTGACACTGGCTTCTTACAACCAGATAACAAAAGTTCACTGCAAGAAATCAGTGGCCTAGTGACTGCCAAAGATAGTTTTAAAGTTGAAGTCTCACAAAAAGATACACCTGATAAAGCGGCAGAAACAACAACCTCAGAGGCAATTACTTTACCCAAAGATGCCCATGTTCCAATTGTAGAAGGATACGTTATTGAGAAAGATTTAGGGGAAGAAGCAGGCGTCATACACCAAGAGAAAAAAGAGATTTCCATCCCCAGTGGACAAGGACCTATACTTACTGAAAAGGAACTTCAGCCAAAGCCTGAAGAGAAAACATCTATTTCTGACAAAGAAGCTGCACCAAAAGAACATGAGCCCTCAAAGTTGAGAGATGAAGAAACAGGCATAATTCAGACTGCCACTGAGCACATTTTCTTGAAAGAAGAATCTAAAGGCCAGGAGCATCCTACAGATATATTAAAACACGGCTCCTTTCCTGCAAGTTTGGAGCCATCAACGACAGATTCAACCATGACCTTGAACACCCTGGAAAAGGTCTCACCTGAACCAGCTGTACTCCATGAAAAGAGCACATTACAGGAACTCTTTCAGGAGAAAGTTACGGACAAAGACAGTAAGGTGGAAGAGGTTGGGGCTGCATCAGCAGCAGAAGTTGACATGCCATTTTATGAAGACAAGTCAGGAATGTCCAAGTACTTTGAAACATCGGCCTTGAAAGAAGAAGTGACAAAAAGCCCTCAGCTGGCCAGTGACTACTATGAACTAAGTGACACAAGAGAAAGTGCCCGTGAGTCTGTTGATACCACATCTGCCATGCATGAAAATGGTGACAAGGGATTCCAAGCAGAGAAGGAATCCCAGCCCTGTGCACCTGCACAGGAAGCAGGGTACAGCACTCTTGCACAGAGTTACCCATCTGATGTACCTGAAGAACCAAGTTCCCCTCAAGAAAGAATGTTTACCATCGATCCAAAAGTGTATGGGGAGAAAAGAGACCTCCACAGTAAGAATAAGGATGATTTGACACTCAGCAGAAGTTTAGGACTCGGTGGGAGGTCTGCAATAGAACAAAGAAGCATGTCTATCAATTTGCCGATGTCTTGCCTGGATTCCATAGCTCTTGGATTTAACTTTGGCCGTGGCCATGATCTCTCTCCTCTGGCTTCTGATATTCTCACCAACACCAGTGGAAGTATGGATGAAGGCGATGATTATCTTCCAGCCACCACACCTGCAGTGGAGAAAGCCCCTCGCTTCCCAATAGAAAGCAAAGAGGAAGAAGAAAAAGTAGAGGAAGAAAAAGTTCCCGGAGAGGAAAATACACAAGTTGAGGCACCCTGTGAGTCACCTTTTGTGACCAAAGATTATTACAAGAATGGCACCGTCATGGCCCCTGACTTGCCTGAAATGCTCGATCTGGCAGGCACGAGGTCAAGGTTAGCTTCCGTGAGTGCAGATGCTGAGGCTGCCAGGAGGAAATCTGTCCCCTCAGAAACTGTGGTTGAGGAGAGTAGTACTGGCTTGCCACCCGTAACTGATGAAAACCATGTCATTGTGAAAACAGATAGTCAGCTGGAAGACTTAGGCTACTGTGTGTTCAATAAGTACACAGTCCCGCTTCCATCACCTGTTCAAGACAGTGAGAACTTATCAGGAGAAAGTGGTTCCTTTTACGAGGGAAGTGATAATAAAGTTCGAAGAGATTTGGCTACAGACCTGTCCTTGATTGAAGTAAAACTAGCAGCTGCTGGAAGAGTCAAAGATGAGTTGAGTGCCGAGAAAGAAACATCCCCTACCTCTGGTCTCCTTAGGGAGTTTGATCAGGAGAGGAAAGCAAACGATAAGCTGGATACTGTACTAGAAAAAAGCGAAGAACATGCTGATTCAAAAGAACATGCCAAGGAAACAGAGGAGGCTGATGTTAAAGTGGACACATCTGGGTTAGGAGTCACGCAGAAACCAACTTCTGCCAAAGAACTGACAGTGTCAAAAGATGCAGTGCCTGAGAAAGCAGAGAAAGGTCTTAGCTCAGTGCCAGAGGTAGCGGAGGTAGAACCATCCAAAAAATCTGAACAGGAACAGGATTTTGCTGCAACTAAAGCTGACCAGGGTCAATTAGACGTTCAAATCAGTGACTTTGAGCAGACAATGGCAAGGCTGAATGAGGATGCTGGAAAAGCAGCGGAGCTTAAAGTGGAGGCTGCACAGGAACTGGCGCCCTCATCTGAAACACCTCAGGAGGCAGACGTGTTCCTGAGTGTTGAGGCTGGCCACGTGAAGGAAGGTGCCAGAGTTAGTGAGACAGAAGTCAAAGAGAAGGTGGCCAAGCCCGACTTGGTCCACCAGGAGGCTGTAGACAAAGAGGAGTCCTATGAGTCCAGTGGCGAGCATGAAAGTCTCACCATGGAGTCCTTGAAACCTGATGAGGGCAAGAAGGAACTGTCCCCAGAATCGTCTCTCATCCAAGACGAAATTGCCATCAAGCTGTCCGTGGAAATCCCTTGCCCACCTGCTATTTCGGAGGCTGATTTAGCCACAGATGAGCGAGCCGATGTCCAGATGGAATTTATCCAGATGCCAAAAGAAGAAAGCAAAGAGACCCCAGATATATCCGTCACCCCCTCCGACGTTACTGAGCCACAGCTTGAAGCAGTCATCTCCGAACCAGCAGAAGCTCAGAGTGAGGAAGAAGAGATCGAAGCCCGGGGAGAGTATGATAAGCTGCTCTTCCGCTCAGACACCCTCCAGATCACAGACCTGGGAGTGGCAGGCGTCAGGGAGGAAAGTGTGGAGACCTGCCCAGGCGAGCGCAAAGGAGTCATTGAGTCTGTGGTGACCATCGAGGATGACTTCATCACAGTGGTGCAGACTACAACCGATGAAGGGGAATCCGGGTCCCACAGCGTGCGCTTTGCAGCCCTAGAGCAGCCAGAGGTGGAAAGGAGACCCTCCCCTCACGAGGAAGAAGAGCTCGAAGTCGAAGAGGCAGCCGAAGCCCAGGCAGAACCTAAGGATGGCTCCCCTGAAGCGCCAGCTTCCCCTGAGAGAGAAGCTGCACTCTCAGAGTATAAGACAGACACCTATGAGGAGTACAAAGATGAGACCACAATTGACGACTCCGTCATGGATGCTGACAGTCTCTGGGTGGACACTCAAGGTGTGCTCTTTTTTTTTTTTTTTTTTTTTTTAATTTTCTATTCCCAAATCCAACCCAGTAACCTAACGGGCATTTTAAAAAAACATGTAAATCTATCCCTTTACCTCTTTATTTTGCATTTTGGGAAGTATGCAAAGGATTCTGTGCATTTCTCACTAATGTTTTCGCTGTTGTTGTTGTTGTCATGATTTGCTTTGATCCACAGATGATGATAGAAGCATCATGACAGAGCAGTTAGAAACTATTCCTAAAGAGGAGAAAGCTGAAAAGGAAGCTCGGAGACCATCACTTGAGAAACATAGAAAAGAAAAGCCTTTTAAAACCGGGAGAGGCAGAATTTCCACTCCTGAAAGAAAAGTAGCTAAAAAGGAACCTAGCACGGTCTCCAGGGATGAAGTGAGAAGGAAAAAAGGTTCATTTAACAATCACTTCTTTAACGTTTTTGAAGTCATTCATTTTACTTGTGTGTAGAAGAAACTGCCTAAGTGGTAACTGATTATTTACAAATTTTTCTTTTGGTTTTGTTCCAACTGTTTTTTTTTTTCCTGATGGTGTGCTCTTTGTGTTTTCTTATTCATAGCAGTTTATAAGAAGGCTGAACTTGCTAAAAAAACAGAAGTTCAGGCCCACTCTCCCTCCAGGAAATTCATTTTAAAACCTGCTATCAAATACACTAGACCAACTCATCTCTCCTGTGTTAAGCGGAAAACGACAGGTGACTGCTCAATTCTGCAATGTGGCTGGCAAACATAGACATGTATTTCTTGTTTTTTTTTTATCTCATTACTGTAGCAGCTTCTTCATTTTGCTTTTCTTCCAAGAATCTCAGCAGTCATGAACAGTTTTGCTATTAAGTGTCTTGTATCATTATTCTTTTTTTTTCCCTCCCTGCAGAAGAGCTCATGACCATCTGTCTCTTTGTCATGCTCAGACATAACAGTGCGTGATTGTATCTTGACATTGTGCTCTAATGTCACGTTCTGGGGATTCCTAGTTTCATTCTGTGTGTTTGGTTAGACGGTGGCGATGAATTTTACCATGGTATGCATTCTCATTATTTTGCTTATTTATCTACCTCATGCTTAAACCCATATATACTTGTCTTGTTTTCTACATTGTCACTGCCAAATCTGTTACTGATGTTGATGAATTTACGGAACACCACCAAGAATGCATATTGATGTACACACTGAAAATGAAAAAGGCAAACTGAGGTAAAATTGTGCTTTGCAAAATTATTTTGTTTGAGATGAGAAAAGAAGCAAGAAAATGAAATTGTGTGGTAGTTCCATCAAATTTTACTGCTTGTATCCATGATTAGCAGGTCTTCCGATCTACTACTGTTCTATATCTTTCGACATTTTGTCATAGGGAATGTCTTAAATGTGTTGAACTAGGCAGCTTTATTTTACTGACGTAGTTCAGACTGCAGAATTGTAAGATAAAATGCTTTTCCCTTTAAAAGAAACTTAAGTCAGAAATAAATTTAGGTTTATTTCAATTTTGTTACCTACCTATTCCTCTGCATTCTCCAAATATACATATTTATTTACCAGGTTTTAAAAGGTGGTGGAACAAAAGAATGAAACATGTAAGAAATCATAATAAAGCCCCTACAAATATCTATAGTGCAAACTTTATTTCTAAATTCCAATTCAAAGTATTTTTGTAAGTGTAATCATGCTAGGATAATCTTAATGTTTACAAGAGTACAGTATGTTTTATTTTAGCATTTAAATGGCATGCTTGTAGCCTACAAAACATCAGATTGCTAAGCCAAAAAGGAATATTTTCCTTTCCTTTAAGCAACACACATGTCTCTATATTCACCTTTGGGTGGTTTAACCATTAGGTTAAGCATACCTTTTGTGAGAAAAAGAAAATCAAGGTAATTGATGGTTTTAGGACAGGCACTAAGAATTTCCAGTCGTTCGTATATGTGTGTTCCAGATAGGAAACACCTCCTATGTTTTCTTTGCAGAACAAGTACCTGAGGCAGGGTTTGAAAATAAAAGTCTTATCTATACATGTAGAGCTTGATAAAGATTCAGAAAAGGAACACCTCTGAAAAAGGACTTAGGAATTAACATGACCTCTCCAAATCTTATATTTTAGTTCTTTTTAGGTTTTTAGCCTCATTAAACTTGGAATTCTTCTCCTAGTTAGATTAATGCCTAGGCAAGCAAAACATTCCCTCTAGCGTATCTTGAATGATGAATGATATTATCAGGGTTGTGGGATTTCAGAGGAAATGTGAGATGTCTTAGTAGTGTCTGCATGTCCATTAGTATTCAGTTTGCTACACTGAAACTATTATTGTTTGAAGAATATTTAAAATCTTTGAAACAATTTGGATCTTCCCTTATTCTGGTCAAGTATTAAGATATTCTGACAAAAAGCACATACTAAGCATAAGTGTCCTTGGTTTGAAACAAACTTCATGCATATGTCACAGAAATTTGAGGTGTGTTATATAAGTAGTAGGAAGGTATCCTTTTCACTGCTTGTTTAAAAACTCAGCTCTTGAATCTGCACAATATTACCAACCAATCCTACCTAGCCCGAAGCATATTGTAGACAGCTATTATTTTGGTGTTAGAGCTGTCTGTGGGTAAGAAACCCTTTGAAACACATTTGGAGGGCTTGTAGGGATAAATATGTGTTTCCCTAAGGATCTGTCTCTTACCAAAGAAAACTAAGAAGGAAGTAAACACATAAGCTTGCATACTTTATTGTCTGAACAGAACTTTTAAATATGGATGGTTTTTCCAAAACAAAAGAATTATCTTAGGTTGTGTAATACATCAGGTAAGTCATCAACAGAAAATACACTCAAGATGATGGAGTTTAAAATTGAAACCAGAAGTAGAAAACAGCAGCAAGAGAAACAACAGTAACAGATGTGGTAATAATTTCATACAGGAAGTGCATGTGTAGAACATGGTCTTTATTTGCTGAACTTCAAATTCCTCTCGTGTTTTCTGTCTTTGATAAGCTATTTTTCTCCCCTTCTCATGTAGTGCATTTCACATCAAACAAGTGTGTCATTTATATTGTGAAGTGGAGGGTGCAGAAAGATCATGACAGTTTGGAATGTAAGATGCAGAAATAACTGTGGGCATGCCAGTGGCTTCCAGAAAAACAGGAGGGTTTGGAAATCTCAGTGAGCACCTCTGTGTCATACCAACCCTTGAAACCAATGAGTTTCCTTTTCCTTAAATTCTGTAACACTCACGTGGCTGTTCTGTGACTTCTAAAGAGTCTAACTTCATGTAGTAGGGTTTCTAAGATAGGCTGTGAACCCATAGAATGTGACTGGTGTTCCTACCTGTGCTTTGATAGACACGGAAATATCCTAAGTAGCACACACTCTAGTTAGTGTCATGCTGTGTTGTTGAGATTCATGTTTCTTCAGTTACTGAATTTGAACCTCAGAGCAAACAAAATTTTGCTTTGCATTAGTCTGTTAACACAGTAGACTATCCAAAAGGCATTGAAAAAATGCATTGGTGTGGGTTTTAGCCACTAAGGTTGTTTATGTCTTTCTTCTTTGACAGCAACAGGTTGTGAATCAACTCAGGCTCCCAGTGTATTTAAACAGGCAAAGGACAAAGTTTCTGTGAGTAAAATAAGTTTTACCTTGTTTTTCATTTGAAGCTCCTTTTGGTATTCATTGCAGTGTCTTAAGAACTTTGATATTCTTTAGATATTTATCCTTAAATGTCATTTTAAGCAGTTCACCCACCCAGACTGAGTCTCAAAAGCAGCCAAGCAAGGATTAATGTCCTCTGGAATGATATGTGATGATAGCTGGTGGGGAGACGGCTAGACTGCCTCTTATTAATAGAATAAAACCTTGAAGCAGCACCATTTGGCAAAAGTTGGGAAGACCAATGCATTTGCTTTATATAGAATCAAATTTGCCATTACAATCAACATAACTACTTACAATATATTAGAGATAATGTTGGCTAAGTTCATACCTGTTTTCCTTAGGATAATTTACTACTAGAAAAATTGCTGTTTTAAGAAAAATGTCTGTATAGAAAGTTTTAATTACACATTACCAAACTTATGCTTGCCAACTTCTGAGATAAATATATTATTATTTTAATGTGGTTCTAGTAATAGGATTTAATTTTTTCATGTTTGTAAATATTTCCTACTTTTTCTTTTTGAATTTTATTTTTCATATTATTAACTATATTTTAAAGACCAAAGCCAACATGAAATACTTTGCTTCTTTCCCACTAGAAGAAAAAATGTAAAGAACTGTTCAGGAAATACAGAGTTTACAACAAATAATTTGAATGATGTTAATTAGTACCTTCTCATGACATTCTGGGTCTGCATAATTATATGTGATATTTAAATCATAATACATAATTTAACCTTCTAATAACTGATAGGTTTTTGAACATCTGCTTTTATTTATTGTGAAAATAATGATTCATTTGCATTGATGATCAAACTTTTGATAATCATCTTGAACTTGAAGGGCTTCACTTTGATAAAGGAAAATATTTGACTTTTATACACATTTGCAGACATATTCCTGAGTATAAGACAGGTAATAGAATTCATTTATTGCGTTAGTCAATATTAGGCTTTATTCTGAGAACAGTGGATTCCAAGCTCTCTATGTCTTTACCTTCTGGCTCTAGCTGGGAACCAGTTAGTGACTTGTCATGCTCAAATCTTGCACATTTATTATTTAAATGATCTTTCTTTTCCTGTTTTAGTTGTCTAAAAATAAGGGAGATGATAAAATTTCCTAAATTATAATTTAATTATGAAGATTGCAATAATTTTATACAATAGTACACAGGGTAATGACTGGAAAATAGCGTTCATTTAATAAATAATAACAGTTGTTAGTTGTTATTATTACTTTGTTACTACTTAGAAGGTAAATGTTCTGAAGACCAGATACCAAAAATAAGTCTTGAGTTTGTCACCTCTAGGAAAAAATTTTAAATATAAATCTTTTGGAAAATCTATAGGAAATCTTCAGGTCTTTAGTCTGTTAAGGACACTGTGTGACATAAAACTACTTTTTACTTTGTAAGTCCATCACATCTTTGTGAAGAAGAGAGATAATTCCCTCATTCTTAGCTTTTCCTGGTTATTATTCCTTTTTCTTCCCAATACTTTATCCTCTCTTTATGTTTCCTAAAATCCCTAGACTAGCGCTTACTTGATTTATCTCTGATATTCAGGACATGCATGAAAACAGTTCTCTGATTTTTGTCTTATTCTTTATTATGAAAGTTACACCCCCCATAACCCTCATGAACTTGGGCTTCTGATGGTGAGGGCAGTTTTCTCAGCACTAGCACTTGTCTTTCTTAATTAGAGCCAATCCAGTTACTTCATTCTTCTCTCTTAGGACACATTTTTGAAATTCATTCTTTTGTGGGTAGGATCAATCAAAAAAGAACAACTGTGCTGACCCACTTAGGCTTCCCACTCATGGCCCAGGGTCTGCAAAGAAGTGGTTTGCACACTCTGTGCATGCTTATGTCCCCGTTGAAGCGGCTGTGGAGGAGAAACCTGGAGATAAAAATCTCAGTTTCATCCACTATTTTTGAAGCAGCTAAATCAAATTAATTATTTGAAGATAATAGTCTCCTTGGCTTTGTCATTCTTGTCTGTGTTTTTAACAGTCTTCCAGGAGACATTGTGAGATGTCAGCATAGCTTTCTCCAAAAGCCGCTTACACTTGCAGTTTCCCCAGGAGTCATCAATGAGTAAACTAAGTGTGGTGATTTGTATTGGGAATGACTCTCCTTAGAATTTATAACACATCATACAAACTGTCACCTGAGCATAAAAAGGTCTCATTCATTCTACATGATAAGTAGGTCCCCAGATGTGTTTTATTCATATAACGAACTTACAGGTAACTGCACGTTTCCTAAGGAGGTTAGGATAGCTCATCTGAAAAATAGCTTTCTCAATCTTTAAAACAGTGTTTTCTATTACTAGGTCGAAGCATTGTCTGTAGTTCTTTAAAATGTGACCGAGATATGAATTGTGTATACACTTTAAAGGCTGTACTTATGTATTAGGAAAACATTGGACTATAAAGACACTTTCAAAAAATGGCATCATTTTTGGACCTATCGATTAGAGATCTTATGTATAACTCCCATGGAGAATATTTTATCTGTTTTCTTTAAATGAGAACTATAGATAAAATTATTTTTTAAATCCCAAAATTTAGCCACTTAGCATTATCATTTAAACCAGCAAAAAAACTATTTTGCTAATTTCTGCTGTGATATTCTGCCTATCTTAACACTTGTGTTATTAAAGTATTTTTTAATGGTAATGCATCCTTAAAGGGTGGAGTTCATGATTTGAAGATCTTATTGCAATCTCTGATAGTGAAATTATTTCATTTATAAGAATACTAGCAAAGTTTGTAATTTCCACAGAGTTGGCAGCTGTGCCATCTCTCATTCCCTTATCAGAGAATGACCCACTAGAGACGATATTCTGCCAGTATCCCAGAAAGCAGAAATAATTGCAATACTCATTTTTAAACTAAATTCACTGAAAATAATACACTTTGTAACTTTTGATCTAAATATGACTACTGATATAAATGTTCACTAGGAATTGCTTCCACAAGCATTCTACAGTGGGCTCCTCAGAATAACCCAAGTCTATTGCAGAGACAAGAAAATCTTGAAATTGTGTTCTTTTTCTGAAAAACTCACTCCAGGAGCTGAGGGGGCAACCACAGGGTGAGAGTGCTTCCTCTGTCTCTGCCACCTAAGTGATCCACACCACCGAGGTGCGCATGTGTCTTTTTCTGCTTCAGAACCAAACTCTAGCCTTGAACTTTAATAGTGAGCAATTTCAGCATCAGCCTACTTCTTCCCAGAGAGGCGCTCTCTTACCTCCCTTTTACAAGGTTAATTAGAGCATTTCTACTTTCAATCATATCTTCTGATTCTCTTCTTGAGTGCTTACAATTCCCATATGAAACCACAGCAGTGCTTTGGTCTCAGAATTTCACAAAGCTAGTTCCTCCAAGACTGAGCAATGCTATTCTTTTTCTCCATCCTTCCACCAATCTACCACTCACTATTTACTCAGCAATTATTCATTGTTTCTGTACTATATATTAAGCATAAATAATCACAATATTTGAAAGGAAAGAAAGCAAATTCTATAGATTTCTGTTGCAGATCTGATGAGTACAAGGTTTAATGGGTCAGCATTACTTTTATGTTCATATTCAGTAGGTATAAGTATTGCTAAGTTAGTTTCAGCTAAAAAGAAGCATTTCATGAAAATCTCTTGTTCTCACATGAATAAACATTTTCATCATTGATTACAGTCATTGTATCATGTGTTCTTATTAAAAGTATACATTTAATTTATTGTATGTTTGTACCTTTTGATTTTTCCTTTTCCTTCATAGTTTGGTTTATTTTGTACTTCTGTTTGTTTTCTTTCATGGCTAGAATCCTACCTTGTCAAAGATTCCTGCTTTACAGGGTAACACAAAGTCTCCACGATACAGCTCAGCCTACTCTAGCACGACTAAAAGGGGTACCTTTTCTGACAGTTTTTTAACACAGCCCACCTCAGCGGGCTCCACAGAGCTTTTCCCAAACTCAAAATCAGGGAACAAGGTAAGGCTGTAGGTCAATGAAAGCTGCAGATAGGAATGTAATTTGGGAGACAGTTATAAGGCATAATTCAGGATTAACATAAAAGCAAGGATATAAAAACTAAATTATCTGACATATAAATAACAGAGCCTGTTGAGGACAAATACAGTTGGAAAATTTTAAATCTCTTAGTAATAAACTATAGAAAATATTTTTTTCTAAATATTTTATGCATTACCAATTTTTTCTTGTAAAATATCAAATAAACCCTCACAAAACAAAATATATTCTATTATATATAATGACATATGTAATGGACAATTACAGTACAGTAACAACAAACTCTACTGTACATTGTATAGTACACAATTTAGAGTCACCTGCAGATACATGGGGTTTCAATACCACTGCTGCCAACTCTGGGAATTTGAAAAAAATTATTCTAACTCATTAAACCAGTTTCCTTAGATTTAAAATGTGCATAATATTTTGTGGAGAGAGTGAAATCATGAATGGATGTGTTGGGCTTAGAGTTCCTGTTACATAGGTGTATACTACATGGGAATATTGGGAATATTGGGAATATTGGGAATATTATTCATGTAGTGCCCTTCAGCCAGTTCTTGCTGATTAATAAATTATCGTGCTAATGAAGGTTTTTCAGTAGAATTAGCAATTTGTTGAAGATGATGTTAGTAAATTACTTTTCAGAACTAACTCCAGAGTAATATAATTGTATAAAATATCTAGGTGAATATGAACTCTTTCTAAGTTATTTGAAGTAGAAATGATTATAAGTATATGAAATTTGGTAGTGTACATTTAAATAAATTTATCAGGAGAAAAACTAACCAGCACAAAGTACTCACTTTTTGTAATTAAAATAAAGGTTGACAAGAACCCAGTGTCTTTTTGGTTTCCCAAATCAGGACGGCATAACCAAGAGCCCGGAAAAGCGCTCTTCTCTTCCAAGGCCGTCCTCCATCCTTCCTCCTCGCCGAGGTGTGTCAGGAGACAGAGATGAGAATTCCTTCTCCCTCAACAGTTCCATCTCCTCTTCAGCAAGACGGACCACCAGTAGGTTTCTTTTGGTTTTACTTCCTTTTTAATTATTTTTAAAAATCCCTTACATGGAAAAGAGCTTATTCTATGCTTGTATTTTACATTTTTCAAATAAAACATGTATTAAGAACAGATTATAAAAAAAAGAACAGATTATCTTTGTCCTAATAATCAGAGAATACAGACTATATGTGGTTCTAAAATAGTTTTCTGAATAAAAACAATTAATGGAAGAAATAGGACAATTATTACCTTATTGTCTACTAAATAAAGTTGAGTTAAAGTTATTTTTCTAAGTATATGTTTTCTTTCTTGTTTCAAGTTTAGGACAAAATAGCCTTTAAAAATATGAATTAATTGAAAAACCAACAGTCAGGGATTTTTAAAACATATCTGTATAAACTTAAGACTTATTAGAATTCCAACTCTTAAAATCTAAATGGAAGGTCAAAATTCAAAATCTAAGATCCTGCCTAATTTGTTGAGAATTTGCATTCCAAATGAGCTGTAAAAATAGTATGAGCTGGGGCTGGGGATTTAGCTCAGCGGCACAGTGCCTGCCTGGCAAGCACGACATCCTGAGTTCGATTCCCGGTACAGGAAAAAAACAAAACAGAACAAACAAACAAAAAAAAGAGTTTTAAAAGATAGTATGAGCTGAGCATAGCTTTTCCTCAGATTGATGGCCCAGAGCAAACTGGCAACTGTAGTGACTTATGTAATGTTCCTGTCATTATGCATTTACAGATTGTGTGCTGCTAAAACCGTTCAGCAAAAAATGAATTCAAAATATTCTCCTAAGTATTTTTCTGTTGCAACAGAAGTGGTTGCCATTCACAGATACAAAACTCTTAAGATATATTTTTGACTTAGTTTAACTCACAATGCTGATAGGTATTAACAGCTGAAATTTGATTGATCAAAAACCTGACCTTAGAGAGAAGATAACTTGTCCAGTCCGATATAGCTAATGAGTGACTGAATTTGATTGTCAACCCACTTTAACTCACCAACTGTCCTCTTTGTGTCTTCTCTGTATGTATTAGTAGAAAATAATATTTGAGAACTGCTCTGTAGAATTACTTGGAAAATAATACTACTGTCATTTAGAAACTTATACACTGGTGGAAATTGCTATTGCTACCACATTACAGTTGATTTTACCACTTGCTTTTAAAAATATTTAACAATAATTAGCCCACTTCAACTATGACTATTTTGCAAGATTCTTATGGAGCACTTTTGCCTACATGAAAATGTTTATTATAATTATAGCAATTGTGCCCAACAATGTTTAGTTTTGTAAACTATTAGCATTTTGTAAGAGCTGTAGTAGGAACACTTTGAAATCACCAATTTTTTTGTATAATAGGGAAAATAAATTATTCCATTAATCTAGAAAGGAGGGCATTTAAAACTTAGTAATCTCCAAGGACGTGACTTTAATTCCATCTATCTGGATTTGGAATTGACCATAAACAGTAACCCCAAAGATGGTCAGACAAGACAAAGGCAGCAAGCTCCCAGAGGAACATCTTGAATGATGCACATATGTGTTGCTATGGAAGCAAAATGGTACTGTTGCCATAAATCCATGTCCTCATGCCACTGGATTCTGCCTCTTAACTTGGATTTTTGTGCAAGTTGTTTCTTAAAGTGTTCTGAGCCAATGCTCTGTTGACATTCTAGTTTTATTTATGTTTGCAAACATATTTTATCACATTATTTGGCAATAAGCATAGCATACTCTGACCATCTAAGACCCACAGGCCTGTTTTAGCTCTACAGAGCAATGTCTAAAAGGCAGAAAGACAACCAGAAAAGTAACACAGCTGCCACTTTCAATCTACCATCTCCTTAACAGAACACAGGAATATCCTGGCCTTTCACAAAACTGATGAAAGGATTTGAAGGAAACAGTGCTGTGCAGGAAGTTTGTTTAGCCCAGGAAGAAGAAAGGCTTTGTCATTGAGTTAAGAAGATAAAGAAGGGCACAGTTTAATAAAGTCACAAGTATTTTAAAAATCATGTTAGTTTATCTCTTTAATTTCAGAATAAGAAACACTCAAATTTACTGTTTTGGTGACTACAACAATTTATTTCAATAAAATTTGGTGAATGTATGGAGCAGCAGTTTGAAGGCCTTAACTTTCATGGTTTATCTTCCTTCTTCAGATCTAACACAAAACTCTTTCCTTTTATGAAGGCTAAAATAATTTTCTACAAGTAATAACCCATACTTTAGAAAAAAATTATGTATTATAATAAAAATGGTTGCTGATATCTAGTATATTTCTTCAGCTCAATCTCCATACAATAAAGAGCACATTAGCATACTGTAATAAATTTTGAGTCTAATTCATTCCTTTAAAAAAAAAAAATGAACTTGCTGTGTTTAGCCCTCACGAAAGTTGCCAAGATAAGTATAGTGGCAAATTATATAGAGACGATCTCTTTCCAGAATATCAGATCTCTTTCACTTCAACAATACTCAAAGCTGGTGAAATCACAGAGAAAACATTTGGGTAAAAAAGTAAAATTTATGGATAAATTTCTCAGAAGGACATGGTAACATGATTAAGCCTACATTAAAAAGTTATTCCACAGGGAAACTGCAAAATGCTATATTCCTTGTAGTCCTATCATTCTGGTCTTGAAATATCATGTTTGTGGAAAGCAGTAAATTTTTAAAAAATGCAAGTTGCACACTAATCCATTACTTTAGCTTCTTTGTATACCATTTCTATTATGATTTGAATAGGGTGACTATTTTGTGCCCTTTTGTTAAAAGCCAAAGTGAACCCAGGGCAATTTTCTCTTAATACATGAAAACTGTTCACAGAAAGAGGAAGTAAAATTGCTCTATTTCTCCAGGAAATTAAACCCAGACCCATGGGCAGATTTCTGTGGTCTATAGATCACAGTGACCTAAGTATCTCCCTTGAGCTCATTCCTTAAAATGCTAAGCAATGACCAAGTAAATGTCCCCTGCTGAGGAAGAACTTCCCACATTGATGATTGGCTACACTGGTTGGCCTGCCAGATCTCTTTCACTTCAGTGATTTTAACATTGAGCCCTACATTAATCCCCTACAAAATTTCAGAGGATCTATTGATTTTACATAATGTATAGTGACCAGTAAAACAATATAGGTCATGTCTTTCCTTATAAAATACAATTTATAAATGAAATCTAAATGCTTAAAAAGGTGATTTTCAGGCACAAAGTACTGTATCTGGCTTGGAATTTAATAGCATCTGAGTAAGTGAGTTTCAGTGTCCTCATTTTTTAATTAACAGTAATAAGAGCTGCCCCTAATTATTATGCATATTTGGTTGCTTCAGTTTGTTTGGTAGTTATAAAAGTGTTTTGAAATCTACATAGTTATACTTATTTCTACTATTCCTCTTTCAGAAGAGCATTTGCAATGGCATTAAAAATACTTTCAAAAAAAAATCTGAGAGACTCTAGTATCAGAAAGAAAACAGAGGGGAAAGGGTAAAATACAAGGGGTGATCAAAATACACAGCAAATAGTTAAGTTTTAAAAATTATTACAGTGAAAGATATATTGCCGCTAATCTCCCTCAAAATATTCCCCTTCCTTTCAAACACATTTATCTCACTATTCTTGCCACTCTTTGAAGCAGTTCTGGAAGTCCTCTTTGGTAATTGTCTTTAGGAATTGTAAAAATATGGTGCCATCCAACAGAATGGCGAGCTCCTAAAAACCTTACTTTGTGTCCTCATCCATGTTATTCACTGCGTCTGGCACCATGCGACTTCTGGCTCTTCCCCACAGTCAAAGTCACCATGGAAGATAAATATCTGGAACTGATTCACAACATTGAGACAATCAGGACAGAGCAACTAATCATCAAAGAAGACATCCAGAACTGCTTCAGAAAATGTCAAGAACGATGGGGATAAGTGTGTTCAAATGAGGGGGAGTATTGTGAGGAGGGTTAATAGTAAAGTGTCTTTTACTCTAATAATTTTTATAATTTAAACATTTACCATTTTTTTTTAATAAAGTGAGGTTGGGCTGAAGTGGCAGTAAAGAAATTCATCTCTGAAGATCTTGTATAAGTAACACGGTCAGGTGCAAGTTTCACCCTAAAAATTTTGTTATAACATCCCAGTTTTCTACAGAAAGAAATAGATCTCTTTAGCATAAAGGTAGGATTAGGTTCTTTATAAAGGGAAGAATGATAACCTATAGTAGAATAATACCTGCCAACCTCTAATACATGTATGCAGCCCCTAGTGCTTCTCAGTATAAGCAGAGGGACTAACATGAGACATGATTCCATCAGTTCTTTTCTACCTAGGCTAACACCGTGTGATGTACATTCACAGATCTGTGTCATATGTACGCCTGGAGCTCAGAATGGATAAACTACATAGAGGAATGAATGATCTGCATGTCATTCAGAAATCCTCAAAAAATAGAAATCTACTTTTTCCCACCTAAATGTAGTCTATGTGCCTTAATGATCATGCAAGTAGAAAATTGTTTTTGACACATTTATACTGAGGACTAAGGAGAATACATCAGGAAAAATCCAATTTTTTTCCTCATGTTAATAACAACAGATTGCCAAAAGAATGTCACTAGATTATGAACCTAAAGGAGGCAGTTCTGGCATATTTTTAGCATTTTTGTGAAATTCATAAGTATTTCAGAAATTTAATCAGTCCTAGTACTCTACAGGTAGAGCGGTACCTTTTTTTTTTTTTTTTTTTTTTTTTTTTTTTTTG